TGAGAAATTGAATTTTTTGGTCTTGGTAAAAAACTTGATTTCTCTGTTTTGATGGGAAAACATAGGTTCTCGCAAGAAAATGTGATTTTTTTGGTTTTTGCGGGAAAATGCAATTTCTTTGTTTTGGTGTGAAAATGAAACTTCAACTTTGACGAGAAAATGAATATTTTTGGTTTTGCAGGAATAGTGAAATGAAGTTTTTTTGTTTTGTCGGAAAGTGCGATTTCTCAGTTTTTTTTTTTAAAATGGCAATTTGCTTTATATAATTTCAAAGGAGGATAAAGTGGCAATTTAGTAGAGATAACAAATTACATTTGCCATTAACATAAAGGTACCTAAAAATGTATTGTTTTATTCTTACATATACATTTATAGATAGTTAGTCAAACAAATTTGATAGTAGATTATCCTCTACCTATTAATTGGCAATGTAGTTTAATGAAATATGCTGATTTGTTTTAATTTTATTGGTTAAAAACATCAATCTAACCTAATTAAATGTGACATAGAAATGATGATGTGTAATGATAATGTAATTGTAACATGGCATTTGCTAACACATGTGGATTATGACATGGCAAAAAAAAATTATGTGTTTACTTTATTTTAGTTCAAATAATTATTTTATGAAAACTGAAAAATATAAAATATTTAATTATTAATATAAATTGTAAACCGTTATTTTTTATCACATGCACAAAACATATGTTATATTTTTTTATTACATGCACAGATTTGTACAAGTTAAATTGTATAAAAATTATATCTTCATCACATGCACCGACTATATAATCTAAAGTAACATTAATCTAACAATTAATGTTTAACTAAAGAATTTTCTTTTGTTGTCCACACAAAACAGAAGCTAAACAAATATACAAAGAGAAATTAGAGTATACCACGTTTTGTTAACCGAAGTATGATTATTTACTTTTAACAGTCTTTTTGAGATTGTCTTTGTGCAATATAATCCAAAGCAACATTAATTGTATCATCAAATTGTATAAAAATTATGAGAATTGTCTTCATCACATGCACCGACTATATAATCCAAAGTAACATTAATCTAACAATGTTTAACTAAAGAACCTATTTATGTTGTCCACACGAAACAGAAGCTAAACAAATATACAAAAAGAAGTTGGAATATATTTAAATTCAAATAATTTTCTGTGTTTAATTTATTTTAGTTCAAATATTTGTTTTATACAAAGAAGTCTTAGAGAATTTAGAGGCTAAATAACTGGATAAATTGAAGAAGATTAATTGAAGACAAAGTAGATGATGAAATTTGCAGCTATATATGCCTGACCCGCAAATCCGCAGCAGGTAACCCGCTCAACCAGCTATCCACGGGTCTAACCCATTTGGCTCTTTAACATAATAAAATAGGCCTTTTGTTATAATAAAGGGTTTAGTTAAAATTATATCATATTTTGCTATTAGGGTCTATAATTTAATCGCTCTACCTATTTTTTATATATTATAAAAAATTAAAATATTTATAACAATTTAGATATTATATTTATGTAATTAATTTTTTTAAACTGTTTATGCCTGCACATGCGTGCAGGTCAAACTCCTAGTAATTTTGAAAAATAAAAAATTTAAGGATATATAATATTTATTCATATTTAAAACATATAAATACATAAATCACACTAATAAAAAATAAATATAATACTCATTTATATTATAAAAATAATTTGATTATATTAAAAATATATACAAAATCTAGAAATATATCCCGCAGCGTAGCGCGGTATATACCTAGTCATACTAAATATTGAATCATGCATCGTATCAAAATTATCAAATTGCTATTAATGTCTCCTAAAATCATGCAAGTATCTTCAAAATCTCTTAATTGTCCCAAAATCTTCTATAACTGATTTAGGAATATTACTCCGTCTTTTTTTTCTTCTTCTAAATATCTGTATATTATTATTGACATGAAACAGAGTAATCAAATTGTGTCTTCGATAATCGGTCTTATATAACATCGTAATTCTCATCAATTCGACCATTAAGCTTATCTCCGTTCTTTATTCACCATCTTAGGTTTGCTTCTTCCGTCTTGTTGATAGAGATGAATGACTGTTCTTCGTGTGTGTTTTTTCTCCGTTGGACTTTTTGGCTTTCTACATATTTAGATTGATTGTCAAAGTTTATGGTGTTAGGATTTTCAGGGTTCTCAGTTTTCTTATCCATTTCAGCCGCTAAATAAAATGCTTTATTTAAGCTCGTCTATTGTTTTAACATTGATTTCGTTTAATACACTTATGGTTTTTGTAATCTTATTGACAATATATGACCAGTGCCATGTTTGGAACTATTATTCAATCGTGCTGTGTCATCCTTCAGGGGATTATAACTTACAAGAATGTCAAGATCTGATTTACTTGCTTAGTCCTTTAATTTTTACTATTTTGAAGGAGACACAAAACTTTAAAGGAATGTCCCAGATTACTAATGAAGATGATGTTTGTGGTATGTACTTATATGAATGTTGTTTATTTCTCAAAAAAAGCCTCTTACCATTCTTTAATTGTTTTCCTTTGTTTGGTTTCTTGCTTTATTCAAAACTGTTTTTTTTTTCTTGATTCCTAGGATCAAATCCCTCTGAACTATATGGGAAGTATACATGGAAGATTGAGAAATTTTCAGAAATAAATGAACGAGAGATCCATAGCAATGTCATTGAAGTTGGTGGCTATAAATGGTAACTGATAATATATTCTCCTCTTTATATACAACTAGTTGGTGATCTCTGCTACGTGCGGCTATGTGAATTATTTTTATATATTTTTTGGTATTATACTTGTTGTATCGTATATCCTTGAAAATTTTAAGATGAATTTCTATTTCTCACCTGTACATGACTCGAATTTTCCATTTTTTTGAAACTCTAGTTTGTGATCTATCCAACACAGCGAATTTGATAATTATTTTATATAATTTTTATATTATATTTATGGTATCATATAGCTCTGAAGATTTTATGATTTATTTATTATTTTTATATTATGTTTGTTATCTATTCAAAATTATTTGGTTAATTCAAACAAATAAGAAAATAGAACATATATGATATTAAATATCTGAAATATCCATTTGAGAGTTAAAATTCTTAAAATTATATAATATTCTAAAATTTCTTCGACTTTTCTGAATTTTTCCAAAATATTTATTATGAAGTTGACTTTCATCCAAATTATTGAGAATTTGTCAATAGATTTTAGATAATGAAATTTCTAGAACCTGTCTCGTTACCCGAATTATCTATTCCATTTTTATTGGATTTTCTTTGGAAATCGTTTTCCGTCTTTTTAATTACTAATTTCTATCACACACTCGTAAATTTCCACCTTGAATTTTGAAATACCCAAAGCTAATGTATATTATTATTTTTAGTTTTTATTTTATTTTGGAATTTGATGATTTTTTATTTTCTAACAACACATTATAGTTTAACTTTTTATGTTTGCTATTTTTATATTGAACGTTAATATTAGTTTTTATTGTTTGCTGTCTTTCTAATTGTCAATGCTCTTTAGACACTCGTAAATTTCCGCATTGAATCTTGAAATAAACAGAACTAATATATATCATTATTTATTAGTTTTTTATATTGTATTTTTTTATGACAACATATTGTAATTGTCTTTTTTATGTTTCCTACTTTTTATATTGAATATTAATATTATTTTTTTAAATATTTTTCGTCTTTCTAATAACCAATTCCCGTAACATACTCGTAAATTTCCGCCTTGAATCTTGATTTACTCATAGCTAATGTATGTCATTATTTTTTTTTATAGTACTTTGTTGATTTCTTTTATTTTCTGACAACACATTGTTTGTGTTTTTATGTTTGCTATTTTTTATATTGAATGTTAATTTTTTTTTAATTACCAATTCCCGTCACACACTTGTAAATTCCCATTTTGAATCATGAAATACTCAGAGCTATTGTATACCTTATTTTTTGTTTTGTTATTTTGTATTTTGTTGATTTTTATTTTCTGATAACATTACAATTGTCGTTATATGTTTGTTATTTTTTATATTAATGTTAACTTTTATTGTTTTCCGTTTTTCTTATTACCAATTTCCATCACACACTTGTAAATTTTTACAGTAAATTTTGAAATACTCAGAGCTAATGTATACAATTATTTTTGTTTGTGTTATTTTCTCTTATTTTCTTACAATATATTATAATTGTTTTTTATATTGAATGCTAATATTTTGTGTATTATAAATATTTTGCTCTTTTTATATTGAATGTTAAGTTATTTTGCATCTTAAAAGAAATTAAATGAAATTAATTAATGAAGTAGTTGTTGATGTGGCAGCACCAAAAGAGAGAAAAACTTATTTCATATGTTTGCTATTTTTTATATTAAATTTTAATATTATTTTTTATTATTTTCTGTTTTTCTAGTTACCAATTCTCGTCACTCACTCGTAAAGTTTCGTTTTCAATCATAAAATACTTAGAGCTAATGTATATTATTATTTTTTTGTTTTGTTATTTTGTATTTGGTTGGTTTTTATTTTCTGACAATATATTATAATTGTGTTTTTATGTTTGTTATTTTTTATATTGAATGTTAATGTTAATTTATATTTTTCCGTCTTTTTAATTACCAATTCCATCATACACTTGCAGAAATCAGCCTTGAATATTAAAATATTTAGAGCTAATGTATGTAATTATTTTTTAGTTTTATTTTATTTTATTTTCTGACAACATATTATAAGTCTATTTATTTTTGTAATTTTATATTGAATATTAATATTTTATGTATTATAATTACCTTTGAATATTTACTATTTTCTTATATTGAATGTTAATGTGTTTTAAAAAATTTAAATAAAAAATAATTAATGAAGGGATTGATGAGGTGGTAGCACCAGAAGAGAGAAAAGCTTACTTTATATATATAGATAGAAGATAAACTATTAAGCTTCAAACTCTATGTATTTCTTCTCCTATGACAGGTATATATTAATTTATCCACAAGGGTGTGATGTTTGCAACCATCTCTCTGTGTTTCTTTGTGTTGCAAACCATCATAATCTTCTTCCAGGTTAGTATTATATATTATTGTATATGTGTATGTTTAGTTTTTTCCGCTCTTCGATTTTGAAATGCTTTATCATTTAGAATATTGACCTCTATAGCTGTGGTGAATATGTACAGGTTGGACTCGTTTTGCTCAGTTTTCTATAGCTGTGGCGAATATAGAATATCCAATGTTAACGAAAGGTTACTTACCTTGCATCTGTTACTTTCCTTGATCCCGATTGCGCATACAAACTTAACACATTTTCTTGCAGATAGTCTACATACGTTTTGGAAGAAAGAACATGATTGGGGGTGGAAAAAGTTCATTGAGTTGCCTAGATTACATCACGGATTCATCGATGATTCAGGCTCTCTTACAATTAATGCTCAAGTTCAGGTGATTAGGTAAATATGCCAAGATTTTGGGTATATATATAAACTGATGTAACCATTCTATGTTTGTATTTTGTTTTATCATGTCACCATTAAACATACAACCAAGCTATCTTGAAATTGATTCTTTCAGAGATCGTGTGGACCGGCCTTTTCCCTGCCTTGATGGTCAATATAGAAAGGAGCTTGGTAGGGTTTATTTTTCAAGTGTAAAGCAGATTTTCCTGAGCTTTATGGAAGAGAAAAGAAGCAAGTTTGTGAAGTTGATAGAGGACAAGACGAGATGGACAAGGTAATAATATATATTTTTCCCATGCATAATTATTTTTTTTCCCTGAAAGTTTCGACCCATTTTGCATCATATAAAGCAAGGAATGGATCTTGTTAATTTCTGGTGCAGCTTACGTGCCTTTTGGTTAGGGATGGACCAAAATTCAAGGCGAGTGATGTCTCGAGAGAAAACGGATGTGATTCTAAAACTAGTTGTGGAACATTTCTTTATCATGACAGAAGTCAAATCCACTTTTGTGATGGATTTCTTGCTGTATGGGTTACACTCTCTTGAAGGGAAAACGAAGGAGGAGAGAATAATACATGAAATCTCAAAACTAGCTGTGAAACACTTATTCATCGATAAGGAAGTTGCATCTCCTCTGGTGAAAGATTCTTGTCACGATAGATTGAAGACTCTTGAAGAGGAAGTTGAGAAAGAGAGAGAAATTGAAGGCATAAAATTGCCAACTGCAATTGTTAGTGTGGACAAATATATGTTTGTTTTAGTTGGTGATGCGATGTTACTCATAGAGAAAGATGTTCCTGAGCCACTGCCTGAATTGGTTAGTTTCATACCGCTTCTATGGTTCCATATTGATGACAAATTTTACTTGTATTAATGATTTTTTTTTTTAATTCTATGTGAATTTAGGTTGGTAATATAGTTGAAGCTCAGTATAATATGGAGCGTGATGAGAAGCATTTATGATTTAACCGAGATTGCTAGACAGGCTTTGGAGGTATTTGTTCTTGACCATATATTCTTCAACAAAATTGAATTTGCATATAAAGCAGCTATTGCGTTGGAAAGGCAAGAAGAGCTTATTCGTGGAGAAGAAGAAGCAGAGATGAATAAAATCAAGTAATCACGTTTTTGTTTGGAAAAAAGGTCTAACAATATTTTCAGTGTTTTCTTTCTACGCTTTATGGAAAACTTTGTTTGTTTTGGATTCCTAAATTATTATTTTTTGGTATAACTTATGATTTTAACACTAAGCAGGGACAACAAGACCAAACATGGGAAATTTTGATAATACATTTAAGATATAAAAACCATGCGTTTTCTTATCAAATCTGCTTTGTTCACTTGTGGCTTGTCGTCTAATCACAGACAATATTTTTGTGGTACAAAAAGCCTTCCATGCATTACGAACGAATTAGATGTGCAAAAGCAAATTTGTAGCTATCAAAACCGATATGAGTAAAGCTTATGATCGTGTTGAGTGGTCTTTTTGGAGGCTTTGATGCTAAAAATGGGTTTTGCAGAAAAATGGGTTAAATGGATGAAATGGTGCATGTCTTCTGTAACATACAAAGTACTGCTTAATGGGGAAGCAAAATGAAACATTACCCCTACGAGAGGTCTAAGACAAGGGGACCCCCTATCCCCCTTTCTGTTTATCATACTCACGGAAGCTCTTATAGCAAAGATAAGAGGAGCAGAGGAAGAGGGCGGATTACAGGCCTGAAAATCGCCAGAACATGCCCAAGTATATCTCATCTCCTGTTTGCAGATGATAGTCTGTTTTTTTGTAAGACAGATAAATCAGAATGCGCTGAACTTATTAAGATAATTGAAGATTATGACAGAGCTTCAGGGCAAAAGCTAAACTGTTCCAAATCTTCTGTTCTTTTTGGGAGCAAGATAGGGCCAGAATGCAAAAATGAGATCAAAAACACTCTGGGAATCCACCAAGAAGGCGGAATGGGAGTATATCTAGGACTACTTGAGAAAATTTGTGGATCCAAGAAGCAAATGTTCTCTTTCATTCAAGAACGCCTCAATCAAAGGATTAACGCCTGGTCCTCGAAACTACTCTCAAAGGGAGGGAAAGAAGTTCTGATTAAGTCTGTAGCACAGGTGCTACCTACTTATGTCATGTCATGTTTTCTTCTCCCGAAATCTATTATGAAGAAGCTCAATGGAGCAATTTCTCACTTCTGGTGGAGTACAAAACAATCAAACAAGGGCCTACACTGGATAGCCTGGGATAAAATATGTAGTGACAAAAGTAAAGGAGGTTTGAGATTTAGAGATCTAAATAGTTTCAATATAGCTCTGCTTGCGAAACAACTATGGAGATTAATCCACTACCCATCGTCCCTACTGGCTCGCGTACTAAAAGCGAGATACTACAGATTCTCTTCACCAGTGGAGGTGGAACGTGCAAGCAACCCCTCCTACGGATGGCAAAGCATAATGGCGGGTAAGGAACTGCTACTTGCAGGACTCAGAAAATCGATAAATTCAGGAATCAGTACAAGGGTATGGTATGATAACTGGTTGCCAGTCTGTCCACCCCGCCTAGCCCAATATAATGGAGGAGGGAGAGATGTGGACCTTTATGTCCATCATCTTATTGACCCGGTCACCTCAACTTGGCGTTTACCTCTCCTATATGACCTTTTTAATCCGGAGGAAGTTCCGCGTATAAAGAGTATACAGCCCAGCAGAGTTTATAAACCAGACAGATTTATATGGGCATACTCAAAGTCAGGGATGTATTCGGTCAGAACGGGATATGACCTAGCGATCCAAATTCGGGAAACAAGATGCAGTCTACCAGTCCTAGAGCCAAGTTTTAACTCTCTAAAAAAAAGGATATGGGAACAAAAGACATCAGGGAAGATCAAACACTTTATGTGGCAAGCCTTATCAGGATGCATAACAACCAATAATCAGCTGGTTAACCGCCATTGCGGGACAGATCGCCCATGTCCACGGTGCAGAGCGACAGAAGAGACAACCAACCACGTTCTTTTCGAATGTCCTCCAGCCACACAGGTGTGGGCACTTAGTACGATTTCGTCCCCTCCGGGAATCTTCCCGTGCTCGGTTATATCACAAAATTTTGCTTACCTTACCGGACGAGTCTCTGAACAAAGGGTCTCGAAGACATGCCTAGAGGTGTTCTCTTGGATCCTCTGGTACATATGGAAGGCTCGGAATGAAATTTTTTTTAACGATAAGGATGTATCACCAGCTGAGACACTCGAGATTGCTATGCAAGAAGCTGAATCATGGAAAATAGCGCAAGTAATAGACCAAACCATCCCAGCATCAGGAAATAGTTCTATACGAGGATTGCCAAGTACGGCACTGACAAAGCAGGGAACTAGGAACCGTGAGATGCCAAGTGGATGCCTCTTGGACACATGAGGGTATCTTATCTGGTGGAGGCTTCTTTTTGGAGCGCGAAGACGGAAGTTGGATGGTTGGCCTGATGGCGATTGACAAAGTCTTATCCCCATTCCATGCGAAGATGGAAGCCTTACTATGGGCTATGCGAGTCCTCACACCATGCCGCTTCCCTCGTCTGACCTTTCAAACAGATTGCCAGCTATTGGTAAGAATAATTGAAGAAGAGGAGGAATGGCCAGCTTTAGCAACAGAATTAGAAGAATTTGAGCTTCTCCGATCTTATATCCATGATTTTTCTTTAGAATTTATTCCTCGCAATCTTAATGTCTGGACAGATTGTCTCGCTAAGAGCGCTCTAACCCGAAGTATGCCTTTCTTCTATGTAAACGATGTCCTTCCAAACTGGCTGGCTACTGAGCCATCCTTCTTTGGAATCTAATAATACAAAGAGCTTTTGATATAAAAAAAAATGGGATAAAATGTGCAAGGGATGGACCAAAATTCAAGGTGAGTGATGTCTCGACAGAAAATGGATGTGATTCTAAAACCAGTTGTGAGGTATTTCTTCATCAAGAAAGAAGTGAAATCCACTTTTGTGATGCATTTCTTGTTGTATGGGTTAAAATCCCTTGAAGGGAAACCTAAACAATACATAATATTTCAAAACTAGTTTGAAAGACTTATTCATCGACAAGGTCCCAAGGAAGTTGCATCTCCTTTAGCGAATGATTCTTTGCACAATAGATTGAAACTCATGAAGATGAAGTTGAGAAAGAAAGAATAATTATCTTATTCCAAATTTAACAACTAACCGCTTAAAACCAATATAAACAATCCGAAATAGCGCCATTTTTACTAATACAGTACGAGAAACGTACATGTATTGTCTAATCTATCATCAAATATTTCCATGTTGCATAGTTTATAAGTAATCGTCTCAACTATTTTTTCTCGCTTTTATCAGATCTTACTATTTTGTTTTATTGTATATTAAGTATTAGTATTTGCTAATAGATTTAAATTAGCTTTAACTTACAAATAGCAAATATTGTGGTTTATTATATCTTTTTAATTTTATTTTATTAAATAAGAAAAAATAATTTGAATAAAGTTCAACATCTCATTCGTTTAGTTATTCATATCAAAATTGTTACTTTCTTAGAAAACAATAGTAATATAATAAAAGAATACAAATGAATTTTAATAAAAAAAATTATTAAACCTTTTTCCATTTGGATTTTTTTGTTTTTTTTTTCGCAAGATATAAAAACAAAAAATATATTATTATTAGGTCTACTTTTACCACATCTAATCCTTGATTGATATATCAATATTAAGCTAAATCTGAGCATTGATTATTTCATCTAGGTTTGTCGATGGGTTTCTAGTAAACTGTATTTAGGGTAGTTGACCAGTTTTTCAAGCCAAAAGTGTATTGCACCAGTCCACATGCTCAGGAGAAAAAATATATAAAAAAGAGCTAAAGTCAAAAAAGAAGGGGAGGGCGATCCGATCCAAGACAAAAAGAGAGGCCGGACATAAGACCGGTTCTAGAGAGAGTACATTAAGAAAGAGAGAGAGAGAAAGTGAGGGAGGAGGAGGAGAAGAGGCCGTCGATCTTAACCTCACCGGAGCTTGCCCCAAACCCGGTTATACAGCGAGACTGAAAGGTGTATGTTCGTCGTCCCTAGGAAGAAACGCCAGCCGATATAAGCTTTCTCGTTCTCCTATATTCCTATTATACTCTCATGAAGAGAGAGTTTCTATCCCACTCTCATCATGGTCCACCTATTACGCTTCCACCTTCACCAAATATCAGAGGGGTATCATGATCCTCGGATGGGATACCAAAACCATAAACACCTCCACCATATCTACCCTTCTGAGTTCTTGTTCCCAGTATGATGTGAATTGACTTAAACATCAAAGAACTTTCAGGAGAAAAACTCTCTTCCGGTTCTACCGGAGGCCCGACTTACTTGTTTTCTAGTGTGCACAGGATCCAGTCAGATTTTTATCCCAGAACCGCATACCGCTCATCCCCCAGAGGACCTCGGAGACCTCGCTCTATTAACTGGACGATCACACACTCCCTGTAAGCATTCTGTAATTTGTTCTCGAACAACTAACGCTAGAATAAAGGGGGAAGACCGTTATGAGGTCCCACGAAGAAATTAGTCAACAATGCTGCCAGGTAGCCAACTGCCGGTGCGGCCCGAAACTCACAGCGGCCAAAGAAGGCTAAGCCGTACGGAAAGGACTGCGCGATGGAAGCTGGAAAATGAAGTAGAGCGGGGAGGAGACCCCGGCTCCTGGAGTCAGACTAGGCTGTCAGCCCAAGCCACAGCTTCTGAAGTCAGCCCGCCTCCTCGAGAGTCTTCCCCCGTAAACATCATGCAAGATAATATCAGCCCGACGATGACCAAAGCCCTAACCGGTCAAGGGTGCCTACTTGACTAGGGTTCTCCTGTCGCTACCAAAGGGCGCGAGGCGGGCCGAAAAGAGACCATTACCTCTTGCATGAAACCAAGTGTGGTGGGCAAGAATATTTTGAGGGACCGAGTCGAACGTTTGTCTTCTCTTTAGAATCGCGAAGTATGGAAGACATACACGAGTGTTTAGTTCATCCAAAAGGTACCTAGAGGCATTTTTGATATTCGTCCTAGACATTAACGGAACTAAAAAAATTATTTTAAAGGGTCAAAATATA